TTTCGTTGAGCGACTACTCGTTTTTTTCTTTTTTTTTTTTTTTTTACTTTATATTTTTTACTTTTTATAACATGAATTGTTTTTATTTTACCGAATAATTACTCTTGAAGGCAAACTGGAATTTTTAGGGCTCGTATGCGACCGTACACCTGGCCGAATATGTGGACGGGACGAGCTCAAAGAAATTGCGATTAGCCTGTAAGATATTCGACAAAGAGAAAGCACCGCTTGATTTCCTCAACAAGTTCTTTCCTCGTGAACTCGAAATCCTTACAAAGATCGAAAATCCCCATATCATTCAAGTAAGATGCCCATACAAAGAGAACAATACGTTACTTAACATTCGATAAAAAAAAATTACAGGTGCACAGTATATTACAGCGTGGTCCAAGAGTCTTCATATTTATGCGTTATGCGGACAATGGTGATCTCCTGGACTTTGTAAAACGGAATGGTGTTGTACCGGAACAACAATCAAAGCTCTGGTTCAGACAGATGGCTTCCGGTCTGCACTATCTTCATGGAAAAAATATCGCCCATCGTGATCTTAAATGCGAGAACATTTTGTTATCCAGGAAGTTCAATGTGAAGCTTGCAGACTTTGGTTTCGCGAGATTCTGCGTTGACCATGAGGGAAGGCGCGTTCTTAGCGAGACCTATTGTGGCTCCGCGGCATATGCAGCACCGGAAGTTGTTTCCGGTACCCCCTATAACCCGAAACTGGCCGACGTCTGGTCGCTTGGGATAATCCTATTTATCATGCTAAATGCCTCCATGCCTTTTGACGATTCGAACTTGAAGAAGCTGTTGAAAGATCAAATGTCGAGGAACTGGATGTTTCGATCGCGAGTGCGGGAAACAGTTTCTGCGCTTGCAAAGAGCATTGTTAAACATATCCTAGAACCAGATATTACTTTAAGGTTAACATTGGAAAGGGTTCTAGGCCACGAGTGGGTACGCACTAAAAAGGAGAAGCCTGGATCTCTTACCGGTCGATTAGTACATTCAGCACCGCCTATTCACGCACAGGTGGTTGATCATTTACATTTACAATAAGAAAAAAAAATTTTAATATATTTTGCGTTCCCATGTTTTTCGATTCTTTTAATTTATATTAGACTTGTGGAGGTGGAGGAAATTTAGTCGGGGCAGGAGCTGCAGGTAACGTACCCGTGGTATTAAGAGGTCTACCTTCGTTCAAGAATGCTGACAATCAAAATCATGGTAATGCCGTAAAGTCTACGGACAATCCGGGTAAAGATACACAATTGTCCGCCATTGAGTGAAGAAACATGGGACCGACAAGGATGAACCAGCGTCGTTCGTACGTCGAACGTCGACGAACACATGAATGTTTATAATATATTTTTTTACTTTCCTGATTATTGTTGATCTATACATGGTTTTTAATAACGCATTCTTTTAATAAAAAAATATCACTATCAATTTTAATCGTGGCTAAAATTATGTGAACAGCAATTTACTATAAATCGGAAATAAATCTAAAAAAATGATAATAATTAAATTTATTGTACAACTATCAATATCTATCAATATACAAAACTATAATTTTTACACGTTCGAAAACGTGATACAATATAAGAAGATAATATGTAACGGTACAAGTAAATATTTTTAATATATATAGTTTACATTAAAACAACAAATAATTTACACAATTTAATATAATCTTCGCGTCTAAGTCAATCTCGTTCAGCATAGCACCCCTGATGTTAAAACTACACGTATATTTTGCCTGAAAGAGGTTGACTTGGCGAGAAAAAAAAAATATTATAAAGAATATTATCTAATGAGGTTGAGTCTAGAGGGCAGCTCGAATATAACATGCTTATCTGTAAAAATATTAATTAGTTCGTGATCTTCAACAATATTGCGTGTAGAAAAGGGCGCGGTTTAGTCTGATCGAATCTTGTGCGTGTTTTACAATTTATGTTCTACGTAACAAGACATCAGTAAATATTATTTTATGATCATATACAAAATTCGCTATTAACCCGCTAAATTACAAACTTTTTTTATCTTCAGGTTACAATGGCTCGACCTTCTCGTTCAGGTGAACGATTAATTCGCTAAAAACGATTAATTTCCTATGTGAAATAAAAATTACACTCTTAATGAGCGCGGCAATTGTATACAAACGATACAATTTCTCTATTTACAAATACTTTAACAAAACATCTAAAATTATATATTTAAGTATTTTTTACAAATGTCAACCAACGTGTCTCGTTGTTTCTCAGATCAGAGCTTTCCGTTTCCACGTATGACAACAAATTATGCTTCGATAAATGTAAGTTTTTTTAAAGAAATATCATCTCATAAATTTCTCACGACTCGTTAAACCCATCCACCAGTTAGTTTATGAAACATCTCTTCATTCAACGTTTGATTTGCCTCCTTCGATCGCATCGACAAAAATATATATCCTCCGATGAACTCGTGAACAACTTTACAGTCTGCGGACTGACACTCAAAGATAATATTCTCTTCTTCGAATTGGACCATCATATGCTTCACTTCCCAGTTTACGTTCCATGCCTGTACAAATAAGATGTCGATAATAGAAAATCTTTTATCCAGAGCTAAAACTTCTTAACTGTTTGTAACACCAGATCGATCCACTTACCTTCATCGTGTTGTATCTCCAAGTTTTCAAGTGATCACCACTGTGCAGCTCCATCCGCATCAGCCTATTATTAGCGATACCCAACAGTTCGTCCTTGCTCTTCGCAGTGAATCTGACTACGAAGAGAGAGATCCCATACTCGGGAAGAGATTGCCAGGCTTTGATGTAATTCAATTTGGCCTCGATCAAAGGTAGATCCTTAACGTTGGCGTGTGCTTCTAAAATCCTCTGGACCAACTGCGAGAAACGAAAGATGAATTCAATCAATGCGAAAAAAGGATCGTACATAAATATGAAACATACCTTTCCTTTGAACTTCTTCACGAATCTGGGAGCAACGTAATCCTCGGGCACGATATCAAGAGCGTTTGGGTTGATCGCAGGTGCGGGGGCGGGCCTCTGCAATTGCAAGAAGGCAGTGATACTGTTTACCTCGCTTTCGTAAGAAGCGTCCGCGAGGGAGCGACCCTTTGCTGCCAATCTACACGCTGCCATCCATTTAGCATATTGCTGTTCCTGCAATAGTTAACCGAGAATTTAATTAAATTTCAATTGCGAATGTTGGCGTAGACGAAGGCGGGGGCTAAATAATAAACTCACGTTGTCGCATCTGATCCACATCTCGGTCATGCCCTCGGCACTAGGCACCTCCAACCTGATTCCATAACGACCTTGCGAGAGATGGACATCGGGCGTGACTTCGCATCCACGCAAATTGATCACGTGAGCAGGCGACTCGGTACTGTTCGTCTCCTCCCGGCTCTTGTACAATCTCAACTGAAGGTCCCTGCACGTGACCCAATAGCGTTTAAACGCCTTCAAAGTGAAACGTTTGGGCTTCAAGAAACGCAGGTAGTCGCACAACTCCGGCACTTGAGTGATGTCGCTGGGCCCGTTACTGATGTTACTGCCCTCGAGGGTCACTTGGAGATCCGTCAAGGCTGCGTCAATGTCATCCTCGATCGGGGAGGCGGCGCCATTGCTGTCGTAACTCGGCTGCGGTACACTCGCCTGAAGATTCACTTGCACCTGCGACACGGAATACAAATGTGACCGACTC